CTTATAGAAGGATCTGAATTCTTTCTCTCTGTTAAGGTTTTCTATATAATAAAGTTCCTTATTTGTGGTTCCGTTTTTTTCTTTTGTGTATCCTCTTTCCTACTCTTCTCTTTGTCTGGTAATTCTATACAGTTGTTCGTCGAGTACGCATTTTTATGTACGTTTTTTTTTATTTCTATCATTAGATTCATCATATTTTGGAGTGTTTTTTATCTCTTTTCACTTTCTTTGTATTCAGATGTGTTTGTCGTTTTTTTTTTATCTTTTGAATAACTCTTTTAATCTAATATAATTTTGCACAATAGACTGACGATCTAGATGCTCAGTGGTCGTTTAAAGCATTCCGGTGGACAGTTGGACACGGATAGACTTAGGACTTTAAACATGGATTTAAATTTTTCAAAAAAAACAAAGATTATAATCTTAAAGTAATCTATAAAATATACTTGTGCAAATGTTGATAGATGTTATAATCCTCCGAACTTAGCAATTGGATAAAGTAATATGGTTTGGTGACATTGGGTATTTTAATTATTTCTTCATTTCATAATACCTAGTACCTTCGTAGTATTTGATCTGCATGTACAATTTGGACAACTTTCTTGTGGTTTCTTCCTGTTGTGCATTGGAAGAAAAATACGTACATAGAATTTCTTGATGGCCTCAATAATTTCGTTTTCAGTCACTACGAGCAAGTTCTCTTACCTTCTTATTTTTGTATTTTCTTCCTGCAGATACTTTTGAACTTAGCACCTTCAGCTCACAGTTATATTCGATAGTCGATTTTCTATAATTTTAGTATTGTGTGTCATGGAGATCCTTCACAGTCCTATTTAGTTCTCTAAAATCTACTACCGTTTCGTCATTTCTGGAGCTTCTTTCTTTAATAGGTTTTAGTGTGAGTGGGCTTAATTTTAGGTTTGTATTTATCTTAGTCTCTGCGCAGATCTTCTCTAAAATTATATTAGATTTCAATTTTTAAGCGAGGATTACTGCAAAAGGACTAACACTCATAACGTGATTGCTTCGTTCCAATTACTAGGTATGTCCCTTGTGTTAATATTTTATCCATATGATAAGTGTAAGTGTACACCTACATGGGAACCGTAATTTCTCCCGATCCGACATCGGGCGACGTCGGCCGACGTCGGATTGAAAACAAACTCAAGGTATTAAATCATAGTGCCTATACTGCTTCCGTGACGAAGCAGTATAGGCACTCTGATTTAATATCTTGAAGTTGTTTTTAATCCGACGTCGGCCGACGTCGCCAGATAGCGGATCGGGAGAAATACGGTTCCAATGTAGGTGTACACTAAGTGTACACCTACATTAGAACATGGACTTCGTCATGGAAGCAGTATAGGCACTATGATTTAATTCCTTGAGTTTGTTTTCAATCCGACGTCGGCCGACGTCGCCCGATATCGGATCGGGAGAAATACGGTTCCAATGTAGGTGTACACTTAGTCTGCCCTTGTAGTTATTCCACCGTTATTTATCATTTCTGCTTTAGAACTATTTTTTCCCGTAATTTTTTATTCATTTCTCTCTTTCATTTTTTTTTCTGACTAATTTTTGAATGTACCTCATATATTTTATTTTGGGTTTCATGGATGATTACTGTTGATGAATAAAACTACACCCCTATTTCGTTAAAAAAAACCTTATGATCGCAAAGAAAAGAGATCGAGATTGGAAGAGAAAGAATATTAGATAAATGAAAGACTATTTAAAAGTAGATAAAAAAAATGAAAAATTTTCATAGTAAGGTTTAGTCATAATATTAAAAACTCGATATTAAAAAGAAGCAAAAATTATTATAAACATATTAACAGAATGTAATCATCGTCATTATTTTGGCTTTACAACCCTCTGTGAGTCCTCGCCTCCCCAAGAATTCTCTTCCAGTCGTCCCTATCCATCGCCTTCCTCCGCCAAGCACGTATTTCCATATTTCTCATATCTTGGTCTATGTTATCTAGGAATCCTGTTCTGGTCTTCCTCTTCTTCTTTGACCAATAGGTCTATCAAGGAGCGTTTTTCTAGCTGGGTCGGTTTGCTCCACCCGCATTACATGCCCTACCCACCTCAGACGTCCTATCTTAATGTGTTTTACGATATCTGCTTCCTGGTATATTCTGTAGAGTTCGAAGCTGTATCGTCTTCTCCAGACACCATTTTCATTTACCACTCCATAGATTCGCCTCAGTATTTTTCTTTCGAAACATCCTAACATGTTTTCATTGCTTTTTGTTAAAGTCCAGGTTTCTGAACCATTAGTTAGGACTGGGCGTATTATTGTTTTGTAGAGTTTTACTTTTGTATTTCTTGATATAGCTGTAGATTTAAAAAGGGATTAAGCCCAAAATAGCATCTATTAGTCGTGCAAATTTTGCGGTTTATCTCTGCGGTAATGTCATTTTCAGTATTGACGAGCGTTCCTAGGTATACAAATTCGTTAACTGCTTCGATGACTTCGTTTTCTATAACAAGTGGCCGCTCGTATTTGTGGTTGGGACCTACTTTCATGTATTTCGTTTTATTAACAGAATGTAAGAAGGAAAAATTGTGAGAATCGTTCTAGATAAAATTACCAATAGGATATCGGAGCCTACGTCTCAAAAGAGATGGAGAAATGGACTACAGATTGTGGGGTAGATATATGAGGATAAAATAGACAATTTATGGAATGTTTGGATTATATTATATATATATATATATATTATATATATATATATATATATATTATTGAATCTTATTTAAACGTGTTTTTAACATTTTTAAAATCTACTAGATAAATCCCACAATATAGGACACTTCTGAACTTTGTAAATGAGTTTTTTAGTTGAAGACATCATCACCATCATCAATGGTACTACACCCCATACAGGACTTCCACCTCCTGAATGTGCCATTCTGTTCTTAGATTTTCTAGTTACAAGCATCCATCTAAGCTTTGGGCAACAGCTTTTTTGATACCCAACGGTATAGTGTCCGGGCTATATACATTTACTGCCAATTCTAGACTGATTTGTTTATTTATAACAGTAATGTCTTTTCCACTGAACTTATATCAGTATATTTTATGTAACTCAAAGGTATATCTGCGCATTCATATGTTGTCTTCATAAATTACTCGCACAAAGTTTTTGAGTGGTTTGTCAAAACTGGGAACGACTTTAAAAATCTTACAATCTCCAGTCCACTTGACGTTAGAACAAGGCATTGGGGCCAAAAATACTCTATGACTGTGACGACTGCAGAAAGTCTATTTACAGATGAAACTCACTTTATAGTTCAGGACAGCGGTCGAAATTCGTCAGGAAGTCTGACAATAAAAACCTTACACCATCTCATATTGATCAAACCGTAAAACATCCAATAAAAAAATAGCGTTTGGACACAGAACTCCAAAATCTCAGTCCCAAAGAGGAGTCCCAATATAATTTTTTTCTAAATAAACTGTTTTTTCATTAAAAGAGCCTATAATTCCATTAATTCGCACAGTACTGTACCATATTTAATAGGAATAAACCTAAATTTTAATTAAAAATACTTGATTTTTGACGTTTCTGTTGTATGTAGCATGTTGAATTTCTTGAATTTTAAACCTATTACAAGCCTGTATTTTCAGTACTCTGTCTAGAGATTATTATTTTTTATCGCTTCGAATACGTATGTTTGCAATTAAGTATCCCTTCTCGTAATAAATTATGTTTGGGGTTAGAATTCATATGTTCCCATAAACGAATTTTTTTTAAACCACTTCATTCAAGTATTATTCTCACATAATCCCTCTCAAAATTTTATTCGTTTTGGCTCATAATTTAGATAAAGCGTTATTATTTTCTCAAGAAAACAAATATTTTGAACAAAACTACACTTCGCTTTTCCCAAAAATTAATTAGCTCATGGTGAACTTATAAAAAAGCCAAAATACAAGTTTAGCTCTCAGTTGCCAGTTGTTATTTGTATATTAATATGCATTCAGACGTGTATATTTGTAGTTAAGTTATCATCGAGAAACTCACAATTTTGTGGTAAGTGTTCACTTTTCGTTTTAATTAATTGGGATATTAAGAGATCCTTTTTTTCGTATATTTATAGAGTTCTCGACTAGCTATTCACTTATTGCCGCTACGCATTCACAGTCAACCCCCTTTTGTCAATGTCGAAGCCAACCGCCTTTATCAATATTTTTGCAGAAGGCAAAGATATCGTTTTTCAACATCTAGAGAGCCACCTGTTTTCAGAGGTTTAGCATATATTCCCTTCAGAGGCCAATGACTTTGTCATAATGTAAGTGCCATAGATATTTTTTTGTTGCTTTTTGTGCGGTTGTTCTATTTTATTTTGCCGAATGTTTTTTAAGAATTAAAATTTTCGTGTTTCTTGTTTTTCTTTGTCAAACTGTTATATTTTGTTAATTAATTAATTTCTATCGTTTATCCATCTGTTTTTGATCTGCACTTTTTTATCACCTTTATCCAACCCCAATGAATTTCGCAAACTGAGCAACGTATCCTTCGTTAAGTAACAAGAAGCTTTTTATTATCTACTTTTGTCAGCTTTTCGCTACACCGTTTCAACCAAAGAAGAGAACGATTGAAACAAAAAAATCAAATATAAAATATTTTTTAAAAAAATTATGATTATTCACATTAAAAATGTAGTGGTTATATACAAAAATTATTATGTAGGACCGAAGTAAGAGGAAAAAGGAAATCCAAGTACGGAAAACATTAGCCTGTTAAACATCTATAACTTCGCAACCAAACAGGGAGGAATTTTTTCCGCTGCTAAAGAAACTTAAGGTTCTATCCAAACTCGATGAATAAAAAGATATGAAAGAAATAAGTTGGACTTAATGATTAAGAGAGATTAAACATTAATAGATATATAAGATATTAATCATTAAGAAATATTTAGTACTAGAGCATTAGAATAATAATTATATTTTTAACTTTTTGCTAAGTACTACAAGAAAAATACCGAAGAAAAATTTAAAATTACATATATTAAGATATAGACGTAAATTAAGAAATACAAAGTTCTCAATATAAGGTATATAGCACTGCATACACATCACAGCATCAGCTGCTCAACTCTAAAAATACACAATCAAATATACAGGATAGCTGATTTTGTTGGTGTGCTACATTTACCCATTTTCCTCAACTTCAGACACACAGTTAGCGTGTTGTGAAAATAGACAACTTTACGATTGCAAAATAATGGTAGAGAAACATACTTTTTAATTTTCTGATTTTTTATCGTAAACTATCAAAATATAAAAATATCTGCTCTAACTGAGATATATTGTCAGCATTGGCATTAGTTTGGAATTGAAAAAAAGTCCATTTTGCTCAGAAAAATAATCTGTATATCTTTTATACTACTTTATATGTCTATTCAATAACTTTGAATGTTTATGATATGCTTTTCAAGGGACTTTCCGATTTTCGATTTTTAGTTATAACCAACTACATTTTTCTTTTACGATGACAAACATTTCTCTTGTAACAAGTTGATCATAATATTGACATATATCCATTATAGCATCAACTGTCTTTGATTCAATTATACAGGCCATGATTTTATTTAAATTTTCAGAATTTTATAAGACAAAATATATATCATACAGCATTAAATCCAATCAAGTATTTGTCAGAGACACGATTCTGAAAATTGCTGTGCTTCTTGAACCTCAGTGCTCCCTTTCAGTGCTAGTAGGCTAGTGATAAAAAGGCAAAAATAGTATTCCAACAAAATCATCGACCCCATACAAATTAAAAATAAATTATTTCGAATCAAATATATTTTATTTCTCATTACTTATATAAGTTAGTATACTTTGGGCAAATACTTTATTTTACATTACATAAACTCCAACCAAAAAATAATATATATAATAGTAAAAGCTCTTTATTACATTCCATGTTTGAACTAAAAGTTATAAGGTTGAGCTTAAAATCTACGATAATAAAGAGCATTTACCTAAAAATAATAAAATCTGTACACTTCAAGCCTAAAAGTAAATAAATAAATATCTGAGCACTTGCAAAAAAAGTACATAATAAAGGTGGTCTATAACGGGAGGGAAAAATGATGAAACGGTGAACGTGTTTTCAATCTGAAAGAAAAAAAAAGAAGCCAAAACAAAAAAAATTCGATGAATTCGATTTTCAACTTGATTTTATCAAGTGTCGTTTAGCTGGCAAGCCTGTTTTCAACAAGGGACATCCCACTAAACAAGGTAATATCACAATGCAACAACTATACTTTATATACCAGGCTATATCATAGCAATATCATCTTACGAAGACTTAATTTAACATAGACAATAACAATTTTTGCAAAAATCAAAAAGTATTGGCACAATATCTGATATAGTAGGTACCTATCAACACTTCGTTGGTAGTGTAGTTGTCTCACAACAATATTACAACATTCAGTAGGTTCTATCACTACAACTGATATGTGTGAAATTTAGCATTACAAATCGATATTTCAATATTTTTTAAGAAAAATAAATATATGTAACATTTTTTGTTAATTTAAGGGATCTTTTGACAACCCTAATATGGCTTTGATAATATCACCGTGAGTACGATGGGTGTTTTTGATATATTTATATTTAAAACAACGTTTAAAGGTCTGATTCTCCATAAAGAGCCGTTGAGAAGGACATGTAGTCAAGAGCTCCGGGAACACTGTTGGGTCCCTTGTATGGAGGCATACGTTGGATGCAGTACTCAGCTTGGTCTGGTGGTAGTTCTCTTCTTAATTCATCGGGCAAGATGTATGGCTAAAAATAAAAATCAAATTAATTATTATTTACTATAAATTAATAATTATTAAATAAAACAATTTTCTTTATCATAGATACATCCATTGACTACCAAAAGTATGTCTTGAAATTTTCCAGCCAGTTATTAAAATAATAATATATAATAGGTACTTTTTGGGTCTATATATTAAAATAGGTAGAAAAAAGGTAGCACATTTGGTGCCAAATCATATGGGTTGGATTGTCACTACAAAATAAAAAACTATTTCCAGTAGTGTAGGTCGTCTACACTTCTTTAGCAATGTTTGTGACCATATATCAACAGTAATACTGCAAATCTCTTTAAAATTATGTAAACTAGATCTTTCAGATACCGCTACAGAAAATAGTCCAGCGATGTGAAACCGCACGATCTTGGAAATGGAAAAATCTCAAAAAACATTGATTATGCTTTCTTATAGCGGTTCCGGCCGGCATCATTTTAAAATAGTAGGTATTAATAATTTTTTACGAACGATTGAACATTTTTAACTAAAACGACAGAAACTTATCAACAATTCGGAAGAACTAAGACATGAACTAAAAAATATTGAATGCATCAATCACATACATATCGCATGAAAAGCGATTGGTCCAGGCCAAATATCACTTAAAAGATAAAATGCCTAAATGAGAAAATCATGGATATACTATTACTAGACATTCAACGCGATATATACCTCGAGTTTAATACAAAAAAAACTGATTCCAACACAAAACACGGACTTAAATACTACCATGATATTCATTTTTATAAAGAAACTATACTCGAACCAACAGGCCCAAATAAGGATAGAATAACTTAGCGAGAAGGTACAGATACAAAGGGGAATAAGACAGCGGTGGTGTAGAACCACCGTGAGTAAAAAGCAATGACGGTAGACGTCATTTCGGGAAAAATAGACTGTAGTAGTCTAGATTTAGACAAACTAGAAATAAACAAAGTAGCATAAGTTAAAAATTTTTGTGAACTGAACGATTAACTGTCAGATATGAACGTATCCAAAAAAATCGCGATTTGGTTTATTTGAATGTGAGGATCGCTAATGTATTATTATCTCATAAACCTTGAAGCCCTAGTCCCTTTTATAAACTTTTAAAATTCAGATACTTTCTATAAATTGTACTATAACCTTTGAAATGGAAATTTTAAGAGGTTTTGGAAACAACCTCGACATGACAATATTACATTTTTAATAATAAGATGCGTTACTTACCTTGTCTGCAGCTAAAATACGGAAACTATCAATGACTTGTTCAGCGGTATCTGTATCTGTGCTCTCCCTAGTCATGAAATCTAAGAAAGCATCGAAGTGTACATATCCAGTACTATTTGGATCTACGACAGCTAAAATTCTCTGGAAATCGATGTCTCCTTGTCTGTCTTTTCCAATGGAATAGCCCAAAGAGACTAGGCACGATTTGAATTCTTCGGGTGTCAAGCGACCTAAACATAAAAATAATATATGTCTAAATATGCCAAGAATTTATAATTATTTATGATAAAATGACAAAAATTTATTTCTTATACAACAGAATTTAGTTCGAAAAATCAGCACACGATCGATTCTATGACTGTATTTCTTTGATCAACGCCATTGGGGATACAAAATGGTTTTTTATAACTAAGCTAGCCTGTAATCATATATTAAATGCTCTTATTACTACCTCTAAGACTCAAGTTATGTTGTGTAATCTTTTTGTCTATAACATTTAACTTTTTAACTTCGCTTCAGTTAATTCTAATTTTAAATATATAGGGTACAACATTATATCGCCATATATGCATAATTTTTCATGTTTTTCTAATAATAAACTTTACTTATCATTATAATATAGTCATCAGACATAAGATTCCTTCCGTTTTTATCTTTGTAATAGATAGGTCCTCCTTGATATTTATTTATTTTATTATATTGATTCCTTGATAGATTTTTTAAATTTAACTATTTTTATATTTGTTTATGTTTTTTATGTGTATGTGTATGTCTTTATTGATTTTCATTACATCTTTGATCTTAAAATTATTTTATTTATTTTCTTAGCTATATGTCCCTCCTTTGTCCTTCTATATCGTTCTGTGTCCCTCATATACCGTATCTATCTAAGTCTTTTTTATTTTATTTTATTTATGTCTCCTGTAAAACCGTGTCGATTTCAGAACGTGAGTTAGCCGCTACTCCACGCATAATAGACTGGATAGTTCTAATCCCCGACACGGCACGTCCCAATGGCATAACGGAACGCTTATGGGTATATAGGAAAAGTGGCATATGGTATAACCAAATAAAACCACAAGGATCAACCAAATAAATCAAAATTTCACAGAAGAAGAAATGAGTGTATTTTCTAAATCCATCAATAAAATTTCGTCATTCTGAATATCTTTTCAAGAAATTGCCCCTACAACGATATCCAATAAGGCATTTTTCCTACCATACGGCTGGTATGTTATGTTGCAGGTTCTAAAATCATTTGAGTTTTAGCTAGGATATACTGAGTGAAACCAAGGACACCATGCCATGATATTACTAGGTAATGATGAAAGAACCCATACAAAGCTTCAAAGAAATATATACAGACGAAAATGTTGTTTGTGATGATAAAGATGTAACATCCCTTTTTAAATTCTGTTTTTATTATACATTTGATACTTAAAATTTTAAAACATGATGCTTAAAGACTCAACGGGCTGGTGGACTCATTTCATTGTCTGTAGTTTACTAGGTCCATGGTTCGACATAGTCCAAACTTTTCAAACGTAGCGGTATAAAATCCGAGGTAGAAGGATTGGATTGGTTTCGCGATTGAATCTAATCGAACGAGGTATGAATAATACAGTGAGACCTAGTGGTTTGGTAACGCTCATTCATTGATTCCTACCAAAATCCATTAACACAGTAAAAATTTAATTATTAAGAGAAAATTGCAATAATTGAATATCTTGACTTACCAGTTCTGTTCTTATCGAAGTGATTGAAGGAAGATCTGAATTCGTTGAGCTGTTCTTGTGTAATACCCTTAGAATCACGGGTCAAAATTTGGTTTTCGACTTCATTGATGTTGCGGTTGATTGAGGTTAGGAGTTGCTCCCATCCGACACGGAGAGTTTCCATTGTGTATTGGGTATATCTGAAAACATTATTTTGATTAGAATAAATACTATAACTTACAGTCTTATCAAATCAAACTTCTTATCAAACACGTTAAATGCCTCGGCTATTACAAATATCCGCAAATGAAACTAATATTACACATTTAATTATTATTTGTTTAAAAATAAATTAAAAGTTGCTTAAAGCAAAGCTAAATTTTAAATTAAAAATGTAATGACAACTACGGTAATTTATAATACCGGTAATACCGGGTTGTGGTAATTTTTTTGTGTAAGTAAAGTAAGTAAAGGATTGATCAAGATTGAACCTCTTTGACAATATTTACACTATTATAGATACATTATGTGTACTACAGTCAAGTCTAAAGCTACTCCGCTCCTTATATCTTTATTGAACCTTGAACTTGAATTAATAAATTTCTGAATAGTAGAACTAACACATTTGTTTATAATGTTATGTCGTTTCCATGTGTTTCTTTAGTTCTGTGTTGTTCAACTATCATTAGTAATGGACATTTTGTAATTGGCAGTGTTTTGTGATTAGCTGTTGACTATTGTATCTATATAGAAGTATATAGATGCAACATACATAGATGCAATATATTAATATTCGTTAAGAATTATTACTGTGTTGAATACCATTTTTACTTAATTTTTCCCAAAATATTTGTTAAAAATATTGGCGACGTGCAAGTACTTGGAGGGGATACGAGAAACGATCAAGCGCGAGTAGTGGAGAAATCTTGCATTTTTTACTGCACATTTCATAGATTATAGATTTCATAAATTCATATTGTCAATTGTCATATTTCATATTCGTTTTGTTTATTTACACCTTCTGTCACAGAAGAAAATGGGATTTAGGAAATGCTGTGTTATAAATTGTAAAAATACAACAAAAAATTGTCAATTTAAGTTTTATTCGTTTCCAACTTCGAAGCACAAAGCTACTACAAAGAGAAAAGTGGATTTATATCATAAACAAGCATAATTAACATAACCTAAATTATGCATTATTCTTGCGCCCGATTTTAAAGTCAGTTTGAAAATAAATAATAAATAAAAGTTCACTTTTAAGTGTAAATTTTAGTTTCATAACACTCACTTAGAGTTCATTTTAACCCAAAAAATCAAGTTTAATTTTTGAATTTTATTTTTTTGAAGTTTACAAAATGCATCAAGTTCAAGTTTTTCTCAAGATGCATTAAGATATATTCGCTGTCCAAAAGTTTACAGGGAAAGAATTAATTGTTCAAACCAATATGATGATATCATGGGCTTAACCTGCTAATTTATGCATTTATGCATTAGCGTTATTTATGGTAATTTATTTTTCTTAATTCTTCCACATAATTCTTCCATTCTTTTTTGACATTTGCCACTACTAAAGCTTTTCCCTTTGACTCAGTGCTTGGTTGAAAAGTTATTTGGTGATTTACTTTCTCAAATCCAGTTTTTATTATTGCATCCATATTAACACTAATGCTGTAATTCAATAATATATTTATTTGTATTTACGATACATCAACGTTTACCTTTTAATAACATACAGACAATGACCGACATAACCTCAATCTTACTTTTTCTTCTTATTCTTTTTTGGTGCCACGTCCTTGACAGTTATCCAGTAACCTCGGTCTAACATGAAAGCGCAGTAAATTTTGCTGATTTACGACACCAGGTGTCGCTGTTCCGAACTTGCACGGTCCCAATAGGCCTTACCAAATTTTGCATTGTAATGACACGCCATTCAGCATGTTGACTAGGCTAATACCGAGTCGTAGCCATGGCCTCTTTAAATCACGATCTTATGATGGCTAGATAGTAATAATAATAGTAGTGTTACTAATAGTAGTAGTAGTAGTCACTTTTGGCTATACAAATGTCGTGTACTAAATACAGTCAAGGGAAATGTTCAGCCTGGAGGATTGAATAGGCAAAATGGCCAAAACATTAAGGCTCTAGGCGAAAATGACATGTAAAAATATCTAGGAGTAAAGTAAACGCCGAAAATTGACCACAAAACAAATGAAGATCGAATTAACTTCAGAGTTCATACGAAGGGTAAAACAGCTACTCCGTTCACATCTTAATAGTAAAAATTTGTTTAAGGCATTAAACACCTACGCATTTTCCGCTCTTAGGTACTCATTTGGGATTATTAAGTGGACTAAAACAGATTCTTCTCAGCGAAAAGTACGAACACACCTCACAAAGGTACAAAAACACCATCCTCCGTTCGGACTTAATCCAAACTTGCAACGGCGCTCGTACGTCTTACCCCTCGCTGCAACATTGCGCTGTCCAAAATTTAACTCTGCGAAAGAGACTGTACACAAAAATCTCTCTTTACGTTTCGACTGCCGCACGAAGTAGCCACATCGGCGAATCATCCGATCACGGATTAACTATTGTAAGTTATAACCACCAAAAGTCGAAGGAATAATCTGAAGTAATTATAACTGATTACTTGTACCCAGCCGAAATATTTATTCAGCTACACTTGGACGATGATAGAGAAACCCTTCCTCGAAACTCGAAGTGCAGTAGGAAGAACGACATTACCGCGGTATTTAGGAGGACGAGGACTCCTAAAGACAGATTACTAATTTAAGAACTTATTTTCAGGTGGTGCAGGCGGAGACATCTACTCTTCATCGCGCGATTTGAGCAGTAGATGGACACAACACCGATCAAACTGGAGGAGGACATCAAACTAAGGACGAAAAAATGCGCAACATAAGGTTCATTACTTGCCAGTCAGGATCAAGTTATACCAACCAAAAATTACTTGAAATATATCGTCAAATACCCTCAGGTCCAAAACGACAAACGCCGATATGGATGTCAAGCCCAAGAAAAAATCCAACATCTTACCAGGGGCTGCCAGGCATTTGCCGCAACTGAATATAAAGAACGGCATGACTCAGAAGGGAATATCCTTCAACAAGAGATAGCTTGTAACTGGGACTTCTACAAACCATCTACATATTATCAATATGTTCCTGACAGTATGCTTGAGAATGACAACTACAAGTTATACTGGGATCGCAGTGTGCTCACCGACAAATCTGTAGCACAGATCTCGTGCTAGTTAACAAACTAACAACCTAACATTTGGCGATACCTAACAACAATAATCTGCGTATTAAGTAAAACGAAAAGATCTCTCAGTACAGAGATCTGGAAATATAAATAAGGAAACAATGGAGAATAAAAAGTACCCAGACGATGCCTATTATTCTTTCTACCACTGAAGTCATTCCAAAGAACTTCTTACGACATCCAGATGCGTGCAAGAATTTTTGGGAGATACACCAACGTATCAAGTCACCTAGGACTCGATAACATGGAAAGAGATCTCAATCCTTTTGATCTGGGATTAGTGAATTTTCCCCTTAGAGGAAGTCTGAGCCTTATTGCTAAATCTGGAAAAGTATTAATAGTAGTAGTACTAATAATAGTAGTATAAAATCCATTGATGGGGTTTAATGATGTAATTTTAAAAGCGATTAGAAATTTTTAATACGTGTCCTTGGAAAGAAGTTTACAGTAAAAATCTATAAATGTAGGTTTTATTATTCAGAAAATGAGATGCAGAGCTTTAATCATCATTCAAATGAATATTTTCAACGTTTTAGGACTGAAACTGACCACTCTATAGTTATTGTCGAATTAAAAGTAGCGTTTGGATGAGGTATTATTTGCCATATGACGTCAATACGCCATTTTTAATGATTACGTTGCCAAAATGCCATAAAAACTATTAACAAGCACCTTAAGTATATTACCAAGAAAGGTTTATAGATCAGAAAATAGGCTAAGATAGAGAGACTTAATGATACACTTTATAATAGATTGCCAATTTAATTTCTTGAAAAATAACGACGAGACTGTATTTTTTTTCTAACGAAAATAAGAATAATCTAATATATTTAATAACCTCTTTGAGTTAGTATGATTCTTTTTATTTCCTTTTTTCTGACTTGGTTTTACATAAATCGTTTCAGTATCCTCAGTCTAGATATGTTGACCCACTTCCCAACGCACGCCGTTGTGTCCTTTAAACACCTGAGAACCTGTAGCAGTGCGGATGTCTTTAAACCTTGGTTTCTTCGTTCACTCTAAATTCAAAAACCGAACTTCCCCGTTAATTTTTACGTTACTCAAACTAGCCCCCAACTTCTGGGCCTTCTTTTTAACTATCCACGTTTATTTTAAGTTGTAAGAATATGAATGCTGCTAAATAATACACAAAAAAGCAGATATAAAAGCTATCTAGTATTAGCTTATTTACCCGACTAATTTTTTTGTGTATCAAATTTTTACTGCTGATCCGATAAGTAATTTAACGAAGTACATAAAATATACAAACCTCTCTTCTTCACTGGTAGCATGAAAAAATAATATAAAAGGTGAGGTAAAGGAAGGACATCTACAATTAAAAGAAGTAGACCAAAGACAGGATAGACACTTTATCGAACTTTTTAGTAACAACTAAATTCTTAGAAAGACGGTCTTAGATTTAATTTCAATGCAGAGCATCTGCCATCAGCTTATATGTATTTCAACCTCATCAGGTATCAGAGCGATATATAAAGAGGCTCTGAATCGAAATTAAATCTTGTTAATGATGAAAATTTTAGGAATGATAGCGTTCAAGACTTTTTTATACGTTATTATTCGGGATAGAGTAACGAACGAAGAAATAAGAAATAAATGCGGATCGGACGACCTAGTTAAGCGGGAAAGACAACAGCATCGTTTCTGAAAATATAAAAATTGTTAGATTGATGCGAATTAAATAGTACTTGAAAACAAAGCAACTAGCCGTCCATTAGGAAGACCTCACACAAAGTAGAGATAGCTAGAAATCAACATCGCAGGAAAACATGATCCAAAGAATGAAAAGACCATAAATATATCAAACAAAAATCTGAGAACTATTGAAGAATGTAAACAATGATTAAATATAATTTGTATTCAGAAATTTTTTAGATGTTAAAATTTTGAGATCCTTCTCCAGAAGTGTCGGAACGAAAGAAATCCCAAAGAACTTTGGGTTACATACAACTTTAGTAGAATACAACATACTGAATTAAAAAAGCTCTTAAAAGTTTCCACATTAAAAATGTGTCTTAAATAAGAAGTACATCTTAAAAACAACCAACAGAGATCACAATTGTGTAAAAGGTGCCAGCGGTTTACCCCTATAAGCAGAGCATAATCCGACTAATTTTTTTTTGTTTTCTACCGCCTTTTTTATTCGATTCTATATATTTTTTCAAGTTCAAATGTACTTTTTTATTTTTCCAAGTGGGCTGGAAATTATTATTAACAAATAACTTATAACAAAAAAACAATTTCCCGAATTGCTTCGAGTAAAATTTTTTTGGGCGTCTCTCATCGAAATAAATTCTTTTTCTATCTTGGTAATTTTTGAAAAAATGCTTCCTTTTTGAGTTATTTTCAATTTTTTGGTGAAAAAATTCCTCAATTAGTGATTTTTGAGATTTTTTTTTCTAAAAAACTTCTAAATGAATTAAGTAGCTATACCTGTAAAAAGGCTGCTATAAAAATCCCATAAGAAAATGCTAACGTTTATTCTGCTCATTTTTTGAGCGTTTTGTCGTGGGGGTATATTTCGTCGGATTTTGACGTATGATATATACACCATTGAAAAGAAGAGACGGTAGCGAATATGTTAAGACAAAAAACACATTGTGGCATTGTATTACATCATATCTCTGTTGTAATTGGTCCTATTGGAGCGTGTGATGAATTGAATGAAAGAGAAGGATATAACAAGTATATTATGATAGAAAAAACAAACAAGAAGACTACCAAAAGGGCCCTACACAGTGTCGTCATTATTAATAAACGTATAGATACATACAAGATGACATAGGGCACTACGGATAAAAACAGTTAAACTAAAAGACAAATTTTAATTTATTGGCTTAAAGAAGGTCTCTGACTGAATACAAAATAAACAATTAAATGAATCCTAACATGCAACATAGCAAATAAAAGGGGGGAAATTCCAAATATATTAAGTAAGAAAAAACAAGCAACAAGGCAACTACCAAAAGGGCACGAGACAGCATCTTCGTTATTAGTAAACGTTTAGCGAGATATGAGACATCATAGCGCACTAGGAATAAAAATAGATTAACTGTAAGACAATTTTTTATCGCCTCTGACAGTACAATATAAACAAATCACGTGTTGTACACAATTTGATACATTTATAATAATGTTAATCTAATTGTCTGAAAAATTCACAAAAAACATGAATCAAAAATCAACACGATCGAAATGTAACATTTGAGAAAAATGTATGGAAAATCAAAATAAGACAGGATAAGAAATGAAGATATCGGACAAATGGTACAGCCCAAACCTATTAGTAAGTACACTAAACAGAAGCAAATGTTCTGGTTCGGACATAAGAGAAAATATTCAAAGGATTTACAAAACAAATATTAGATTTGGGAAGTAGAAGGAAAAACAGAACGGGAAGACCCGGAAGGAAATAGATATATCATATAGAAGAAATATGTAGAAATAAAGGGAAAACTTTGGAAGAATTAAAGACTACGGCTAAAAATAGAAATGCGTGGAAAATGGGTAAAGAAATGACCACAATCCCAATCTGACGCATAGGAGGGCCAGAGGATATGAGAAGAAGAAGATAATCTAAATGAAAGTGCACACGATTTTCAATGCCTCTTAAATTGTGATGGAGGATGAACAGTGGTCTCGAATATTAATAAGAGAACTTATTGATAGTTAGTCATGCTTCAGCTGGCTTAAATATGATTGGACAAATAATTTCATATTTGAATAAATGCCAACACCAGAGGACCTGACAAAGCATATTCAAGAAGAACGTAAATAGTCATATGCAAATATTAGGTTTAAAAATAAGTATATATAAGCATTTACAATAAAATAATATTCCTCACCTATTTTCAAAGATCATGCTTTCTTGTACGGCTTGATGGATCTTCTCCAATTCCTCAATGTGTGGTTTGTAAGCATATACGCCCTGTTCGTATTCCTTAAGTCTATGCAATTGATCTTCTAGTGTACCGTGGAGTCCCATACCGATAGCTGTTACAGCGTCCAATTGACGTTCTATCCATGGTCCAACAGCGTTAGCCTTCTCAGCGAATTGACGCCTAAGCATTTCGTTATCTGTGTTTCAGAATAGTTAAGGAAAATAATAACAATCTTTGTAAGGTGTGTAAAATTGTGTGCAGATTTATTTTGTAACTGTTAATATCGGTAACAACCGCAGTCTGCTAGATTAAATTGGTCGCACTAAAAGAAAAATACCGCTAAAGTAAGCATATCGGACTAGCAAAAGTGATACAGGACAAACAAATCCATGAAAAGCCTTGTCTTTTCAATATGATCACAAACAAAATATTAAAAATAAACGAAATCAATGTCTACAAACAAACTTAATTCAGTAGAGAGTATAGAACAGCACTGTTTTAATATTTCTTATGACTCTATTATAATATGACCTTACAGTATATTATTTTATTGTAATATAATCTTGTTTAATTATATATTTTATTTATTTATTATGATATTTTTACATTATCTTCTGTTAAATTCTCATTTTCAAACTGACTAATATATACTGTTCTTTTAAAATATCAAATTTCTTTAACCAATTACCAAATAAATTTATGAGTTATGCCAGGTGTTATGCCCTTTTTTACAATTATTCTTTTCGATTATTTCTTATTCTAATTAATCAACCAGCTAATTTTCAGTATATCCTACTTTACTCAAGCACAATAACACAAAAATATAAAGAATAGAATAACATAAAAACATATTTCATGCAGAATATTTCTTAGTTTGGAAATAACGTAGAAAACAAGTAAAGATCCTAGATCGTAAGTACGTAATAATGAATACAAGCGAAATGAGTATCGAAACATCGCAAACGGAAAGATTGATATTTGAAAAAGAAAAGGAAGGATATAAGAGAACTAGAAAAAGAAGAAACTCGATTGGACTCAAGAACAGAACTAAACCTGAAACAAAAATCTCACCAGTTAGACAATTTAACAGGTGTTAAAATGCTGACACAATAATATGGTGTTTTATAAGAAATTGGTTAAAATGTTTCTTAAAACTGACCACGATTATTGCCATTAATGTTGACTTTTCCAATGAAAGATTTAAAGTTGCAAAGTCTGCTTTTGAAGTTGCAGTTTATCAAAGCCTAAAAGTACCAGGTATTTGATGATCTAAACTACTACTTAACAACTACAACCATTGGTCTATATTGTGGCTTTGCTGCATCAAAACAACTATTAAACATACAGATTCTCTTCTTTATTGTGAAGTTGAAAAGGATTAAAAAATAAATCATATCCATAAGTTAACAAGATAAATGCTTATTTCCTTAACACTGTACTGCTAACACGACCAAGCTTCACCTTTACCACCTCTTCACGTTTAAAACCCATTTTGATTTTTGTCGATAGGACACTCTGAAAAGATATCGAATTTTTTTCCATCGAGTTGTTAAAATTTTATATAAAAAAATGATTTCACGCGTATAACTGACATTCAAAATCGCCAGTATTGATATTCTCAGCAAAATTCGGCTTGTTCGTATGATTTTTTAGAGTTTCAGTGGTATTTTCGTCTCTGGAAATTGGAGTATTTGTCTTTTCAATTAATACCACTACTAGTGTTTATCTAATCCGGCCAACTAGTTTTATCTAACCTAACATCATTATGATCATTATCATCATCATCATCATCAATGGCGTTACACTGGTTTTCACTCTTATCGCTCCTGTGCCACTATTTTCCACTGTCTGGCACCCATTTTCTCCAGATCCTTCTTCACCATTTTACAGCTCTTCTCACGTCTCACGCCTTTCTCTATTTATCCATTTGTCTATTAGCACAAGCTAAAAAATCCCAAAATTTATTTTCTGACTTTGATATCCCTCTAAGTTTTGCTTCAGATGTTCATAGTCAGTGAACAAAAAATAATCGAAAAAAAAGACACATGAGCTTTCATCAGTATCGGTAAAAGTAGAAAACAATGAGTGGCGATTAATATGTCAATTTGTTGCAACCCTTTATCCACAATATGAAAAAAACGACACAAACAGGAACCGTGTGGTAAATGCGCATGCTTTTTCACCAAAACATGATTTTTCACCAGAATAACGCATATGTCCATAAGTGGACAATTGGAATGATCAAAGCTAAAAACAGCTCAACGCTAAGAGATTCTAGCTTAACTCTAAGGCAATTACTGTTATGCCTTACGGAATGGAGTGAATATTATATAATTTTAGAAGCAAGTATAAGTATTATGTGTAATAAATAAAAAAGCACAAACTTACACTGCACCATGATACTGTCAGACAAAAAACGAATAAATAAAAATGCAGCCCGAATACTTGATTGCACATATTGAATTATGCGCTAAGGCGCATGTACATTGTATTAACTTTTTATCAGAATTACATTTAATGCAAAAACTTATAAATTCTTTAAAAAGGATACTCTGTTGTTTCCTAAGTTCGGCTTGGAGTGTGGCATCTCTCTGAGGCACCAACTGCCTAACTTCTCCCCATTTTCTGGTCAAATCCTAAAAATAAAAGGGAAAAATTAGTATTTGTTCGATTTTGGTCTTATAAAACCGACATTTTACCTCTAAGTCACAACCAAATCCTTCCTTATTTAGCACAAAAGATTGAAAAAGAAAAGCATATTAATAATCTACGAGGGTAACTACAAGAAAACTCATGAAATGACTGAAAAGAATGAAAGAATCTACAAGAAATGAAGATAATTTTGTCTTATATATTGAATGTTAAGTAATCTATTAAATCTATTAAACTAGAAGTAAGTACATGCACAGGTCAAATCTTCAGAATGTGAAACATTCGGTCACTGCTTAATAGTGGTACTATTTTAAGTAGATACATCTACAAAACCAATACACATGCAGGATCTAAAAATCACTAAATTTATCTAGATTTCTTGTAGGATGGATGCGATAATTAATGATTTGGTGTGATGATCAGATAAGGTCATCAAAATACTTACGTGAGCTGTCAATGTCGTGTAGGGATTTTCTAGTCCACCAGGTACTTGATGTTGCTTAACAATAGATTCTACTTCTCTAACAAGTCCTACAATGCTTTGGTATTCTTTGTCGGCCTCTCCTAGTGTTGCCTACAAACAAAATTTTGGTATAATTATCAACAAGAACCATTACTGTTTTAAGTTTAAATATTTTGTACAGAATATACAAAATTTATGAAAATTTTGAAAAAGTTTTCTAAAGTTTCGTCTTTTTAAGGTGTTGTGTCTATTTATTTTAGCTTCTATATCATTATCATATTAAGTATCTTACAGGTTACATTTATTTCATTTAAGTAGTTATGAAATAAATGTGTTAAAAGTTTCATCTAGAACTAAAATCCAATATCATAGAGCAGTATTGTTCATACACTTGACTCAAGATACCTCATAAAGCCATTTTTTGCTAATTGTACTTGATGGCAGTGGCTCCTACTGAAATTAGCCCAACTGTGTCAATCTTCAGGAAACACAAATTAAGTGTCTATGATACTCCTAATGCTTGATATCAGACTCATGGACAATACCCATCATATCTTTAATTAAATACTACATTACATTACATATTAAGAGACAATCTTGAGAAATTTTCTTGATAAAATTTACCACTAGATGGGAGCAGAGTATTAACCATCCGGCAAGTGAGGCAACTAAATGGTACAGAAAGCGTCGCTTATGGTGAGATGGGCGAAATCTCACATTTCCACCTCGATTTACCGGACTCCTTGACTGGTGTGGTGAATCGATTGGAAGCTCAGAGTTTATTCTGTGACATATCTACGACTTGCTAACTACTTCTAAGTGTTAGAGTTATCCACTATACAGGCAGGCTTACGCCCGACATTATTTTATTGCCACTATTTATTTAACCAATGCCACTAAAATTGGTCCCTTAAAACCTGCCTCATGAAACTTAAAGCATGTTTAATCATCCCGTAATTTCTTCCAAATTTTTGCTCTCACAAAATTCTTTTAGCTACGCTCACGACTAACAAATCCTTAGAAGAATTATTACGGTAGGCTTTCTAATTGGCATATCGAGGGCAAGTCATGGTTCTCTTATAATCCTTCCCCTTCTCAGAAAAAAGTCAATAGCTTGTGTGTTTTGTCTCTTCACTAACCATTCACTTCTAAGAACAGCTATAATTCTCTGGCTTTCTAAAAAACTCTGAAAATCAATTTCGTCCCTTTAACCCGAGTAGCTCCTAAATTCTATAGTAGATATATCGAGTATCAAAAGAATTAAGCTCTGGGGGAACTTTTTCCATGTTATCAAGCTCTAACTGACCTGATCTGCTAAATTTCGTATACATCTGAATATCGCCACTTTTTTCATGGTTTTAAGAGATTTTTACTATTTGATGTTGTGTAGGATGTTCTTTGGATTGACACCAGAAGTAGAGAGGATAATAATTATCGTCTGGGTACTATCCATTCTCCGTTGTCTCTTTATTTGCATCTCAATTTACAGTTTCTCGAGAGAGAATATAGTTGATTCTTATTATTTTTTTATTTCACTTTATTTTCTTCCGGTTTTCTCGAAACAGAAAGTACAAACTTCCGGTTTAATAATTTTTCCTTACAAAACTTTTAATGCTGAACAGAGTTTGTCATGAACACAGGAACTTTATAAAACTAATTGTAGAGAACAGAAACTCTTATCATACCTTAAAGTGATGGTGGGCATCAATCAAGCCTTGAATTTCTTCGACGGTGTGTACAATGAAGATGTCAACCAAGTCCTCTCTGGTACCGTCCAACCAGTTGTTGAAAGGAGCTGCACGCTTGGCAAATTCGAGATGGAGGATGTCGATCTTTTCCAAGATTCTTTCTGCTTCATCTAAAGCTTGGCGACGACGTTGGGTTAGAGCTCCGAGCCTGTCCCATTGGTCGCAGATACGTTGGCATCTTGCGTTGACGCTCACGCTGTCATGGTATTCAAGAGTACTAAAAAATAATTAAATTAGAAAATCAATGAATAACGAACAAAAATACAAAAAAAAACTGATATGGTACAACGGTTTTCACGAGGATTACAAATAGAGTATGAGGAGACTTTTACTTGATTTAAATACTTCAAGTAAAATATCTACAATTATTTATACTATTGAAAAATTTTCACTGTACACTTTTCACCATGTTGAGGTTTCTGATGTTAATGTATAACGAACTTAAAACTGAAAAGTAAGTTTTTAACAATGGTAAATAATTATTCAATTTTCATTCATTTTTAGTAGTGAACGAGATTATCCGTTTTATATTTATCGATTTTTAAATCATTTAAGTAGTTAGGCAGTTAATTAGTTTCGCGAGGTCGATAGATGATTCAACGGGCGTAGTAGCCATATTTCAGTGAGCAGCTTACTAAGTTCATCTGTCGAGACACATGCTAACTACAAAAATACTCTGCACACCAAAATTAAGGCATGATTTTAAAAATATATAATTTTAGCCAATAAATATTTACAATGTACATATATATTCCGGTATATTATAAAGATTTAGCGATAGAACTGCAAAAAGGCTAGTTTTTATCATTTTTTGCTAGTAAATTGAAAACATGATAGCAGTTCTTCATTTTAGTTACAATTTATTTTGGTTTGAATACGTTTTGCTAAATCTTCAAATGAGTTTTTCAAGTTTATTTAGTGCTTTTTCTGAAAAAGAACCACTAACAGCAAGAAATCCGAAATCTGTCAGAATATAACTGCATTAGAATCGTTAAACTTCGTGAAGAAGGATACAATACACTTAAGTTAAACTCGCTGGACGGTTTAATGTGACCGTCAATTATTTCAAAAGTTTCAATATGTATTGCTGCCACTACCAGTAACTCAAGAAGACCTGGTCAGGACAGAAGAACTGTTACAACTTCTAATCAAAGCCGATTCTTGAAACTTCGTACACTGAGACAAAGGTTTGTTACAGTACGTCTCTACAAAACGAATTTTTTACCATTGCAATTTTAGATTAGGCCATTTTAGAATCATCCATATATATCGTTCTAAAAGCAACCTTAAACTATAAAAGTAAAATAAAAAAGTATTTATTAAGGCTGAATCAGTATATCTTCAGGAAGTGTAGTTTGTTAAAATGGTAGAAAAACCGGAACATATGTGGAATATGATCTACTGTCATTAAACTTTAAATATGCGTTAGATCTCTTATGTATGGAAGGCACATAATGTTTCACCAGGTCGAAGAACGACGTCAAGATAATACTTACTTTAATTCCTGTGCAATGGCGGCGATCTGTTCAACGCGGTCTTGATGGGCAGCTAAGTCAGATTCGAAAGCTTCGTGCTTCTTTTTCAACGCCTTCAATTCGTTAAGACGACATTGTCTGAAGTCTTGGCTCTGGAGCATTTCTTCTTTTCCGCGGGTCCAGTCTTCGTGCGCATCTGCCTTGTGTTTGAATTTCTGGGCTAAATGTTCCAAACGTTCTAGACGCATCATCTCAGACAACAGCCATTCTTCGAAGGATTTTTCGGCATGTTCAAGGCCTTTCCAGGCGTTAGCAATGTCCTAAAATACACATCATAAATGAATAAGGAACCATATAAAAACACAGATAGAAAAACAGTCTTCTTCTGATGCTTATAATAATATAATAAAATGATATTTGTATTGATAGAAATGTTTGTTTTTGATAATTTTCATGTAGTTTATCAAAACTTGATGATACTTCGTTCCCACATATTCGATTCTAGAAACTTCTAGGACTATTTTATAGTTGATATTAAATGAATTAGTACTTACCGAAACCATTTTTCCTTCTGTTGGCATGTAGGCGGGTCTGTTTGACAGTCTTAATTTAGTTTGGAGGGTGTTAAAGTTAGTCTCCAGTTTCGCTTTTTGTTCCACACGTGGTGGTTTATGTTTGCGACGATACGTACGGTATTCTTCCAACTTCTTCTGAACGCCAGCTAGTGAATTGTCGGTCTGGCGGGAATTCAACCATGGCATGGTACGACGAATCCATTCCAAAAGCTAAAATAATCAAGAGTGTTAAAAATAAGATATTTATAATTTATAATTTATATTTTTAATAGTAATGTTATAACCAATTAAACATATATGTGGATAAAAATCTGAAGTCTGAAGATACTATTAAATCTTGAATAAATATTATACATAATATGAAAATATAGAGATTATTCAAAACATATAGATAGATACATCAAACAACTATTATTTGTTAAAGTATATTAGCAACAAGAAACTATGAAAAATCACTGAAGTATAACGAAATATAATAAATGGAATCACTGAAATAAAATAATAATAAGTCCAAAATAATTAAGATATGGATATAAGGCACATATACTCACAGACAAAAATAATGCATATTTTATCGTCAATCATTATTTTTTGTTTATTTTTTATCTTTGAAATGTTAAATTTTTTGTTATACCTAAATGTGTTATGCTGGAATGTTTTACGTGTATTAAAATTTATTGGAAATAAAAGAATTCTTGGATATAGACTTTATACATGAAGAAGTACTTATGTCACAAACTAACAAACACTGTATAGTATGCAAAGTGTGCTTTGGTGACTTACAATGATTTTTGTTTTATTTCTTGATATTGAAATGTCAGTTAGAGAGTTTAATTTTTTAATTCTGCAGTTTTCTCGCTGATATCCCATATTTAAGCCAGTGTATTAAAATTGTTAATGATGGTTACAAACAAGAAGATACAATCCACTGTTTTCTCGTATGATAAAGCGATACAATGAGACTGGAGAATACAAACGGAAATCTGGTCAAGAACTAAAAAGATGTACAACGCCAAAAGTTGACCAATATTTATCAATCTTTGCGAAATCTCACACTTACAGCTCCCAATCTCACAAATGAATGATACAAAACCCAACGGTTGCAGTTTGCAAGAGCCCTTTTTAACTGAAACCAACATCGATATGGATGATTTATTTTCACATGAAACAAGAATACGGTATTAGGGAAGCCAGCTGAACGTAGTTGAGTATACAGAAGGCCTGGGGAACGTTTCGCAGAATGTAATCTTATACACAATATTAGCTTTGGTGGCAGTTCCATGTATTAGTTGGGAGAATCATACGGAGCTTATTGAGGTAAATATTAGATGGCCTTCAATGGCTATGATAACTTTGTGCTAATACTGTAATAAGAAATCGATAATGCCCATGCACATGCCCTAGAATTAGTTGGACAATATCTTAAGGACGTTGGAATTGTGTTCTAGATAGGCCACCAATGTATCTGATGCAAATTCCATAGACAATGTATTTAACATCCTAAAACGATATATACCAGCCAAAAATCCAGCTCCAAACTCAGTTGTAGAAATAAGAATTGCTGCACAGGTGGAATGAAATCGACTTCCGCAAGACAACATCAAAGACCTTCTGCGAAGCATGCCTAGAAGAATGCAGGGGCTATCACTAGAGCTAGAGGAGAAAATACTACATACTATATTGTTACAATGTTGCCGTAAAAAATTGTTGTATTATCGTTATTGTTTCTCTTTCTAATTAAATGTAATAAGCAATATCGTAAAGTAAAGGTGAACGATATAGAAACAAATAATATACCGATTGCGAGAGGGGTTAGGCAAGGATGCGTCTTGTCTCCGACGCTTTTCAACGTGTACTCACAGGTCATATTCAGAAAAGCCTTATGGGAAAGAAAAGAGGGAATAAGAATTGGTGGAGAAATCATAAACACCATGAGATTTGCAGATGACACGGTAATTATGGCTGAGAGTATAGAAGATCTACAAACTTTACTAGATGCAATAAATAGTGAATGCATTCAAATGGGACTTGACATCAACACAGATAAGACCAAATTTATGATAGTATCAAGGAGTCCAATAAATAATGAACAACTAACTCTTGGTGGACAGCAAATAGAGAGAGTGACAAAATATAAATATCTGGGAGCTTACATCAACACAGAATTAGATCCAGACCAAGAGATCCAGATACGAATAGAAATGGCAAGGGCAGGATTCTTAAAATTCAAACAATTGTTCTGTGACAAAAATCTGAATATTGCGCTGAGACTGAGGTTTGTTGAATGTTACGTCTGGTCGCAATTATTGTACGGGGTAGAAACATGGACACTAAAAGCGCAAATAGTTAAAAAGATTGAAGCCTTTGAACTTTGGATATACCGGAGAATGTTGAGAATCCCATGGACTGCCAGGGTCACCAATGAGGAAGTGCTGAGAAGAATGGGTCGAGTCAAAAAATTGTTGAGAACGATAAAAGTACGCAAGACTGCATACCTTGGACACATACTAAGAAATAATAAATATAGTCTTCTGCAGGTCATCATGCAGGGTAGAGTCGATGGCAAAAAGGGAATAGGTAGAAAAAGGAAGTCATGGCTGCGAAATATTCGAGACTGGACAAACATGACTGTAGACGAATTATTCCACGTTGCAAAAGACAGAGAAGCTTTTAAAAATGTGGTCGCCAACCTCCGTTAATGGGGACGGCATAGGAAGAAGAAGAAGAAGCAATATCGGACTATTAATTTCTCTACAAATTTGTTGTAGCTCTTTAATATGCAAGTTAATTGACAATCATTATACGTAGAATAGTCCAGCACAACTTATTTAGCAATAAAAAATACAAAACTTCTTGAAAGAAAAAAATTTAGTTCAAAAACAAACTCCTAACGCAGAAAAATAAAATGTGCAATATTTTTGTCTGTGAGTAATGACGTAATCAACATATCAGAGGGGGCCAAAGAAAAGCAAATAGTGAATGTTAAATGGTGAGAAAAAAAGAATGAAAAATATAAGGGAAAATTTTTTTAATATAGTTTGGAGAAATATGATTAGTATTATTAGAGGTAATGTAACGAAATACCTATAAAAAGTAACAAAATTTGACCACAAGGATACCTGGTGATGAACACACAAAGGCTCAGAAACAATAACGAGAAAATTATATAAAAAATGTCAAAAAATAAGTCTAATACAAATCAAAATTACAAGGTCACCAAAAATCACAGAAAGTGGCTCTAGTAAAAGCTAAAATAGATTTTAATCAAAGTTAATGCATCCTAGACATGAATAACAAAATACTAGTGTACGAAAAGGATGCCAGAAGGCGAAAACAAATACTTTGATAGTTTGTAAAACAAAGATTTTGACAAAAAACGAGTCGAATTAATAAAAGACGGTTATCAGATAATAATTAATAAACAAGGAAGTTGCTCAGACAATACAAAATAAAGTTCGGTAAAACAGTTGGACCAGGTTATATCATGGAAGTGTGAACGTTAGGCTAATAAGTTTTCTAAATAGAATTGTAGAAGTAGATCAAATGCCAGCCAAAAGGAATATTTTAGTGCATGTGTAAAAAAACAAAGGGGATGTGTTACAATGTACAAGCTGCATGGCCACAAAATTACTTAGCCACACGATGGAAAAACAGAAGAGGCTAATTGATAGACGAATACGTTAGGAAAACGACAAATGCAAAATCAGTTTGGATTTATGAAAGGCAAATCCTCAGTAGATGTCATTTTCAATTGCTGAAGAGAGTAGAAGAAAAAAACCAAATAAGATCTGGTGGACACTTAGAAAAAACATATCTGTGAGTGGGGGTAAATATTGCTACGGACATAAGATGGAAATTTATTTATTAATTTATGTAGAAATGAAATTAAATTAAAAAATTAAAAGGCATAAGGTAAAGAGAGTTATGATATTGTGAAATAAATATTTACATGATCGATGAATGACACTAGAACTATTCAAATCAGAATAAGAAGAAAATCTGGTGACGCTCGAACATTATATATATATATATATATATATATATATATATATATATATATATATATATATATATATATATATATATATATATATATTCAGTTATTCTTCATTAATAATAGACGAAACTAAAATTGTATACAAAACTAGTAGGTATAGACATTTGCATAAATTCAATATTATTTTTGCCATTTCAAAAATGTTTTACTACAACTCTATACATTTACTATCTTTCTCTCTCCTTTTGACCATGTTCCGCCCTTTAGCTACCGTCTGGCTATTGCCGAAGGAGTATGAAGAGATTTTGAGACCATCAACACTCATCACCATCACTCAAGTGTCATTTTGGCCCTATTAAATGACACTTTTCGAGTGCCATTAAACTGTTAATGTGAGTGAAATTAAGTTTTAGTATTGACTATTTCTGTTTTTTACGTTGAATTACGGACGTATTTATATAATAATGTTTTGTGACAAAATAATTAAAGTATTTTATTTCATATATATCATTTAATATACACTGGGGTGCAAAATTAACCGAACACTCAGATTTTTTGTTTTTTGTTGGTGTTTAGATCAAACTTGTTTAATATACATTATTAGCGATATCGTTTTTTCTTGTTTGAACCTGCTTAGATGTTTTGTGCAAACAACACTTTTACGCATACGTTTTGTTATTAATGTGAAATAGTGGCTTAGTATTAATTTAAGTTTACTGTGGTACTGTACTTGATTATAAGTTTGGCTGTAGGTTTTTGTATTGTCTCCTGTTTAAAACTTTCATTAAAAAAATATGAAACCAGAAAAAGTAGCACAAGCTGTTGCTTTGCAGGATGATGGGCGGAGCATTCATTACATCGCAAATGCTTTAGGAATTTCTCAAAGTACAGTTTTTGATGCAATACAAAGATTTCAGGAAACAGCACAATACACCAGTAGGCCACGTCAAGATAGACGAACAACCACAAGTCAAGTTGAAGATCGCTTTCTTAGGTTAAAAGCGTTACGCGATCGTACATTATCAGCATCAGTAATTGTTTAACGAATAAATAATGTCCATAGAAGCACAGTTTCCATTTACACCGTTCGAAGACGCTGAAATAAATATGGATTAAGGTCCAGAATACCTGTCACGTGACCTCTATTAACAGCAGATCATCGGAGGCAACGTTTACACTTCGCTCGCGAACATCTTAATTGGCGTGTTGACGA